TATATAAATATATATATATATATATAAAGATGTTCCATAAATAGTAAATACTTCATGACTGTACTAAGGATATTTTTAATAGTTTTTTGTTGTCTTAAATAATGCTCTAATTCCAGTACTAGGAATTGCACACAACAAACAACAAACATAGTTAAGCATGTGCAAAATTAGTTGTGTACAGTATCAGTCTTTGCTGTAGCTTTGGAAACAACATAATGTCGATCAATAAAAGAGTGGCTGTTGGGCCAGCACATGGCGTAGTGGTTATGTTGCTGAACTCCCACATGACCGACCCCAGTTCAAGTCCTGGGACCCTCTGGCTTGAAAATCACGCTGGGTGCGTGTGTGTACCCAAGATTCAAAAGGAATGGAAGAGAAAGGATTTCAGAGAAGGGATTGTGGCATGGCCATGCCCCCTGGGGAGGGGAGGATGATTTCTCACTTTCCCTCTCACTGTTTCTGCATCTTCTGTGAGCGCATGTTCGCTATAGTAAAATCCTCTAAAAAAAAAAAAGAGTGGCTATTTATAGTATGATACACCTATACACTATATAATGGAATATTACACTGCTATAAAACTAGACCGAGAAAAGGAGGACGTTCTTTATGTACTTATATGGGATAATCTCCATAATGTATAAAAAAGTGTAAAACAATAACGACCAAGAAGTATTGTGAATATTTTGCTACCATCTGAATTGTAAAAGTGGGTAAATATCACATGTTTGTATTAGCTTACACATGAATGAAAATGATCTTCTGAAGGATACACAAGAAACTAATAAAATATGGTTATTATTGAGAATGGAGATGGGAAATAGATAAATATTAGATACTTCATTCCTGGGCCTAGTTCTTCATTTTTTGAATTATGGCTTGACTGTTCAAACATTAAATTACTTTAAACTTTTTTTTAATTTTTATTTTGCCAGAGGACATATGTGCTCATCGGAGAGGGAGAAAACACCCCCAAGTGGGGGCATGATCACACTGCAACTTCGTTTCCTCCATTTCTCTATCCTGTGGGATTCCAAGCTTATATGCCCCGATTCCTGGTTTGTTTTTCAAGCTGGGATTCATACTAAATGGTTAGTCGGGTGGGATCTGGCTCCCTTAATCACAAGGCCATGGGACTAGCTTGACTTTTTTTTTTTAAAGAATTATTTATTTAATTTTATTTATTCATTCGGTCATTTTCATTTGACCAGAGAAAGACAGACACATAGAGAGAAGGAAAGTGAGAAAGCAAGCTACCAGGTCTGGGACTCGAACCATGATCAGCCATGTGGGAGTGTCCAGCACCTTAACCTCCACACCACCTGCTGGGCCCGGAACTAGTTTGACTTTTAAAAAATATTTAGAGGTTAGCAGGTAGCATGGTGGTTAAGGCACTGGACCTCCACATAGCTGACTACAGTTTGAGTCCTGGACCCAGTAGCTTGAAAATCACACTGGATACATGTGTGTGAGTGCCCATGATCTTGGGAGGAGAGTGGAAAAGGGATTGAGGCATAGCCATCCCCCCCCCACCCCCGGGGATGATTTCTTGGTTTCCCTTTCATTGACTCTGTCTCTCTCTGGCAAGTGCACATGCCCTAAGGCAAAAACCTAAAACAAAACAATACAAAACTAAAACCTTTGGAGAAAAAGTAAGGCAACTAATTTTTGGCCCCAGAGTAAAAAAGGGCTTTGCTTGATTTTATTTTTCTAAATCAAATGCAAAGTGCACAAACCATAGAGGAAGGCTGATAAACTTGCTTATTTTACCTTTTGTACAATGAAAGATATCATAAAGAAAGGGTAGGGGGGAAAAGCCACAGCCAGGCACGGTGACACACACCTCTACTCCCAGCTATTCAGGAAACTGAGGCAGGAGGATAACTAGATATAGCAAGACCTTGTTATTTATCTATTATGTATTTATAAATAATGTATGCATGACTGCCTGCCAGACTAGGAAGATACTTTCACTACATATGACCGTCGGGCCTAGTTCCCTGTATATATAAAGAGCTCCTAAAAAGTAAGAAAAAGACAAATGCCAACAAGAAATGGGTAAAGGCTATTAATATGCAATTCACAGATGCATAATACAATAGGACAAAAATCCATAAACATGCCAGTCTCCTTGTAATCTGAGATAAACAAAGTAAAGCCACAATGAAAGTCCACTCCATCGGGTTTGAACATTTTTTTTGGAGAGGTTTTTTTTTTTTTTTTTTTGCTATGGGGCACGTGTGCTCACAAAGACAGTGAGACAGAGAGACAGAAAGCGAGAAATCACCCCCGGGGGGATGGCCATGCTGCAATCCCTTCTCCTCCATTCTCCTCTCGGGATCTTGGGCACACATACACACGTGCTCAGCGCCACTGGGTTCGGAACTCCAACTGTGGTCAACTAAATACATGGGAGTCCAGCAACATAGTCATTATGTCAACTGCTGGTCCTCAGATTTGAAAATTTTAAAAATATCTGTGGACACCAATTATTAAGGAGTCTGTAGAACAAAAAGAATTTTCATTCTGCTGATGGACAAGTCAACTGGTTATAACCACTTTGAAGAGCAGTTTGGCAACATCTAGCAAGGCTTCAAGACATTCATCCCTCATCCTCAACAATTTTATTCCTATGTACTTGGCCTGGAAAAACTCCTTCACAAGTGTAAGACTATTCATAGCAACATTGTTTGTTTGTTCATTTGATTGGTTTTTTGATTTGTTTTTAGGTTTGTTTTTTTTTTTTTTTTTGGTTTTGCAATAAGGTGTGTGTGTTTGCTGTTTGCTGTTTCCTGGAGAGAGAGAAAGGGAAAGTGAGAAATCATCTCCGAGGGGGAAACGACCACGTGGCAATGCCTTTTCCTCTTGGGATTTTGGGCAAGCATGCTTGCACATGAACCCAGTGTAATTGTCAGGTCAACTATCTGGGACTCAAACTGTGGTCAATCATGTGGGAATGAAGCACCTTAACCAACACACTACCTGCTGGCCCCTGCAGCAACGTTTCTAACAGCAAAAACATGAAAATAATGCCCATGTTGAGAATGGACATGTTACAGTACTTTAACTCAATACATTTTCACTGCAAGAAAAATGAACTGAAGTTACAAATATCAACACAAAAGTGACTTTTATAAGAATTTGTACATGGCATTATTTATACAAGGCTTTAAAACATGCATAATGGTAATGCCTATTGTTTATGGAACACAAACTTTTGGCAATCAAAACAACAGGCACAGGAACAAGTAAATTCAAGATACTATCCTGAAATGAAAAGATTAGGGGGAAAGATGGAAATTTCAAGTTTATTGGCAGTCTTCCTTCTTTAAAAGCAAAATAAGGCAAAAACAAAAACGGCAAAGCAGGAAAGTTTGATCATTCTGGATGGTGATCCTACACGGTATTGCCTTATCATATTCTCTGTTTTAGGAATGAAACGTTTATTACAGTAAAATTTAAACAAACAGCAGAATAAAACCATTTTAAAGTCATCACTGTCCCAGTGGAGTTCCTTCTCTTTGACTGTAATACAACTGTTTATCCGTGCATCAGGTTTTCTGCGGATAGTCTCAGCCAGAGGCATGTATAGGGGTATTACAATAGAATAGCAGCACAGGATGTTTTTCTCAGGTAGTTTCTATTCTCCTGAAGATGTTCTTAAACCAAAAAAGTAAGTTATAAAGAGATGAGGAAGGGCTGTACGAGATGCAGAGGTAGTGTTTACATCTTCCAAGAGCATCTAGAGCCGTGTTCAAACGAAGCCTCTGAGCTGGGTTAAAAAGAGACGTGTCTGCAGGAGGAATTGAGGCCATCCGAGCACAGTAAGCAAAGGGAACAGCTTGCAGACCAGGGGACGTGCAGCACGTAACGAGGGGCTGCGTCAGGGGCTGTGAAGAGCCTGATGTGGTTATCAAACTAAGGAGCTAAAGGAGGCGCTTGATGGGGACGCCGGAACCTGTCAGAGCTGGTGTTCGGTGCGGTCACGGAGCAAAAGCACAGCCCTACTGGATTTGGCATATTTCAGGCTGCAAAACTCCAGAATCAAAGTCAGGAATAGAGCTCGCGTCTCCTGACTCCAGGGTGATGCCCCTCTAGCTGCGAAGCCATGTTCCCGTGATACCACGTTAGCTCTGAATTACGCCGAGTACGCTTTCCAGCTTGGTTGGAGCCCAGTCCTAGTTGCGTTTCCTACTCCCCAGTGCGCTCCTTTCCCTGATGCTGCCCTCCATTAGGCCGCCCAAGCCCTCTCCGAGCGCTACGAGGGCGCCCGGAAGCCTGCATGCACAAGCTCCAGAGACCACAAGTCCCAGGGTGCAACGCTCTCCGCCAGTAAACGGCCGCCGGAGGACTAGTCAGCGGACCATCATGCAACGCTCTACGAAGGGGGCAGGTTCCGGCAGGGGTGGTCCTGTAGCGTCGTCTAGGTAACTCCAATCCCGTGACAGAGTGTACTTCCGCTTCCGCCCTGAGTCCTACTACGCCATTTTCCTGCGACTGAGCAGCCCGGCGGGATTGTGGGGCTGCTTTCCTCCAGCTAGAAACCGGCGACAGGCTGGTTGGTCGTCGCTTGCGCCCTTACACCTGGAGCTGAGCAGGAATCGGCGAGATGACCGACCGCTACACCATCCACAGCCAGCTTGAGCACCTGCAGTCCAAGTACATCGGCACGGGCCACGCCGACACCACCAAGTGGGAGTGGTTGGTGAACCAGCACCGCGACTCGTACTGCTCGTACATGGGCCACTTCGACCTCCTCAACTACTTCGCCATTGCGGAGAATGAGAGCAAAGCGCGGGTGCGCTTCAACCTGATGGAGAAGATGCTGCAGCCCTGCGGACCGCCCGCCGACAAGCCCGAGGACAACTGAGACCCTGCCCTGACGCCGCTGCGCGGGAGCGCTCCTCCCCGCGTCCCTCCGGTGTGCAATCGTTCCCAGCGTGTCCCCGACTTCGGGGGACCGATTCCCCTTGACTGTTGTTTCTCGCGCTCTCCGTGTACAGAAGTGTCCCGCCTGACCTGTCTTCGCGCGGACCCTTCGGAACATGGCATTCGGAGACCACTTGGACCCGGGAGAACTGCGTCTGGAGAGATCCCAGAGCCCGCAAGCGTTAGAGAAGACGGCGTTGGAGTGAGACAGGATTTGGAAGCTCGTTTTTTGGCTAATTGTTTCTCTCTTATTTTTATTTTTCATAAAATTTAAAAATTTGTTTCCTGGTGTGTACTGCTTGTGTTCGTTTGGAAGGGTCTGGGGAGGGTGTTGAGTACCAAGGTTTGTGAGCGTCCGTACTGGAGACTGGTGGCAGCGAGGACGGTAGCACATGGCCGACGATCGTTCCCAGGCGTTTAAATCTGTCCTGCACACTCATAACTTTTTCCCACCCTGACTTCCGTCCAGAGGTTTTGTTGGTTTGTTTTTGTTTCTGAGGCCCACATGCCTTCAGTATTGAGGTTTGTGACTGTTATATTGCACCTTTTTCCTTTCATTTTAAAAGTATTTGCCGTCATAGCCCTATCTTTCTCCTGGGAGTTTATACCTGTCTTCAGAAGTGACAAGCAAACAAGCACTTTCATACATATATCCAATATTTGTTGAGCTCCGTTTTGCATTTTTTTTTTCAGGCTTTTGGGACTTGTGTCATGCTGGTGGTGGGGGGAGGTGGAGGCCAAACCAACTGTAGCTACAATATGTAAATGTTAGACGATAATCGGGAGAGAGATGTTCTGCTGGGGAAGGAGTGTCAGGTTAGGGTTGCAGTTTTTAATTTGTTCCTATTAGGGTATTGAGATGGTGGCATTTAAGGAACGACTTTAAAGAAGTGAAGAAAATAGCCCTGCAAGAAACTGGAGAAATTGCTTTCCATGCAGAGGAAATTGCCAGTGGTCTTAATGCTGTGAATGTGGTTTATTGGAGCAACTGCAAAGACAAGTATGGCTGGAGGGCATTATCAGGGGAAGAGTAGAGACAGATGATGGATGGAGGGACAGAGGAG